ATTAAATTATTTTGCATTCCCAGATAGGCTGTGGGTGAGTTTATGGACTTTATTCTCACAAATAAGTCAATGAGAAAGACTAAATCTGGCAAGAGCTGCACTGATACTGCAAGGACCCTTGCGATGTGCTTGCAAAGAGCAGTTGTTTTCCAGAACCCACTGAATTTTCTGGTGAAAATTGGGGACCTGCCTTTGTAAAATTAGAATTTGAATGAAAAGTAGGAATAAAGTCCTGAATTTTGAGGGGGAATAGAAAGAATGTAGTATTGTGTTAATGCCAGAGCATTTTCATAACTTGAAGATGATTAATTTAATCTGCGTGCAGTGAAAATATAATTAAAAGATGTAATGAAATTATAAAATAAAAATTATTTTTTACCACGAGACACAAATTTTTTTCAATTGATATGACACATGTGAAGCATATCAATAATATATAATTATTATATAAGATGTAATAATATAAATACTTACAAAATATTGATTGCAATAAATATGCAGTTTTGGACAGAAAGCTCTCCTTGACCATTGCTGCTGCTAATTTGGTTTATTCCTATCAACTGTAAGAATGTGCTCTTGAAAAAAATATGTTTTGAGGATTGAATTCTTCTGGAGCAAGTGGAGTTTTGTGGTATTTCATAGAACCAGAGTTGGAAGGGACCCCCAAAGATCATTGAATCAAACTCCTAGCCCTGCCCAGGACCATTCTGTATATAAATAATGATCCTAAACTGTTTTTTTTCCCCCTGAAACTCTGTAAATTGTCTTTTCTTTGTTGTTGTTGCAGCAACTGTTCAACTGTCAGGCTTTACGGAAGCTGAGCATCCCTGACAACGACCTGTCCAGCCTCCCCACCACCATCGCCAGCCTCGTGAACCTCAGAGAGCTTGACATCAGTAAAAATGGTGAGAGACCCAAAGTATATTAAGGAACTGTGGTGAATAGGAGCAATAATGAAGTTTTAATTCCTAATGTTAAGAACCTCGTGGTATGGTTCTGTATTATGGTGTCCTACCTGGCACTTTGGAGAAGGTTCCATAAGGGTCTACCTTGCTAATTTTACTTTTAAAAATAAGACTTTGGTTTTGCATCACATGACTTGTGCCCAAAAAATAGGACAGAGGAGTGTGAGGCCACTTTTCAGTGCACTTATGAACTGTTCCACTGCCCAAAGTGGCTTAGAACTCACTGGACTCTTGTGTGAAGGATTTAAGCACGTGGAGCTGTGGATAAACAATTCCAAGGACTTCTATAGATCAATTTGGTGATGTGCATCTGCAATTATGCATTTACACATTCAGGTACCTAAAAAACTTTTGCAAGCCTGAACTCAAGTGTCTTTGTTTTAAAAATGAGGCTTTGGCAGTCCTGGAAATGTTGGGAAATTTCTTACCAGTGGAGGCCTCGAGACTCTCAGGCTTCTGTGTGTTCTCCAAAGAGATAAAGAGAAGCAGTTTGGGAAGAAGTGAAAGGCACAAATATCAGTACAGATGATGTCACTATTTGGCTTTAGAAGATTATATAAATCAAGCATTAGCATAATAGTTGTAGTACAAGGCATAGGATCTGTTCTGATGTGTTTATTTAGGGCTTAAGTACTTTTGGACTGTAATACTGAATGTGTATATCCTTCCTGTTGGAGCTGAAGTCTGATCTGAAAATACCAAATGAACTCACTTAGGAACAAAACAAATAACCACTTTTTTGTGTAAATAATAAATATTTCCATGCTTTTTAGGAATTCAAGATTTTCCAGAAAATATCAAGTGTTGTAAATGTTTAACAATTATCGAAGCCAGTGTGAACCCTGTGTCCAAGTGAGTATCAGCAGCTGGGTTTGCATTCTGTAGGTGCAGAAAATGAGCTCAGAGTTAAATGAATTGTGTCAAGTTCATTTGCAGGATTAATCTAAATTTCTTTCTAGTTGTTTCAAACGCAGAGGGGGTGAATCTGTTTTAAGATCCGAGTACTCTGTTAATGAATATGGGGTCTTTCCACTTAGCAGAGAAAGGGTTGGCAAAGCACAGGGGCTGAGGTTTCATGTGTTTGGCCACTGAAAACCTCTTGGTTGGGGCTTTGGCAACACTTTTTCCTTCCAAAAAGTTGCAGTAATAGTAACAAAAATCTGGGTTGTAAAACGAGGATTTATAAAATGGAGTGAAGGAGGTGAAAGGATGAATTTTTATTACGTCAGTTTAAAAAGACAGAGAGAAAGAGGGAGAGAAAGAATGAGAGAAAAAGAGGGGGAGAGAGAGAGACAAGAAGAAAGAAAGAGGGAGAGAGAAAGAAAGAGAAAGAAAACGAAAGAAAGAGAAAGAAAGAAAGAAAGAAAGAGAGAGAGAGAGAGAGAAAGAAAGAAAGAAAGAAAGAAAGAAAGAAAGAAAGAAAGANCCCTCTTGGTGTTAGTTTTCTCCTCCCTGGATACTTGGCTGAGTTTTCTATTTAGGAAATTAAATTATTTTGCATTCCCAGATAGGCTGTGGGTGAGTTTATGGACTTTATTCTCACAAATAAGTCAATGAGAAAGACTAAATCTGGCAAGAGCTGCACTGATACTGCAAGGACCCTTGCGATGTGCTTGCAAAGAGCAGTTGTTTTCCAGAACCCACTGAATTTTCTGGTGAAAATTGGGGACCTGCCTTTGTAAAATTAGAATTTGAATGAAAAGTAGGAATCAAGTCCTGAATTTTGAGGGGGAATAGAAAGAATGTAGTATTGTGTTAATGCCAGAGCATTTTCATAACTTGAAGATGATTAATTTAATCTGCGTGCAGTGAAAATATAATTAAAAGATGTAATGAAATTATAAAATAAAAATTATTTTTTACCACGAGACACAAATTTTTTTCAATTGATATGACACATGTGAAGCATATCAATAATATATAATTATTATAAAAGATGTAATAATATAAATACTTACAAAATATTGATTGCAATAAATATGCAGTTTTGGACAGAAAGCTCTCCTTGACCATTGCTGCTGCTAATTTGGTTTATTCCTATCAACTGTAAGAATGTGCTCTTGAAAAAAATATGTTTTGAGGATTGAATTCTTCTGGAGCAAGTGGAGTTTTGTGGTATTTCATAGAATCAGAGTTGGAAGGGACCCCCAAAGATCACTGAGTCAAACTCCTAGCCCTGCCCAGGACCATTCTGTATATTAATAATGATCCTAAACTGGTTTTTTTCCCCCTGAAACTCTGTAAATTGTCTTTTCTTTGTTGTTGTTGCAGCAACTGTTCAACTGTCAGGCTTTACGGAAGCTGAGCATCCCTGACAACGACCTGTCCAGCCTCCCCACCACCATCGCCAGCCTCGTGAACCTCAGAGAGCTTGACATCAGTAAAAATGGTGAGAGACCCAAAGTATCTTAAGGAACTGTGGTGAATATGAGCAATAATGAAGTTTTAATTCCTAATGTTAAGAACCTCGTGGTCTGGTTCTGTATTATGGTGTCCTACCTGGCACTTTGGAGAAGGTTCCATAAGGGTCTACCTTGCTAATTTTAATTTTAAAAATAAGACTTTGGTTTAGCATCACATGACTTGTGCCCAAAAAATAGGACAGAGGAGTGTGAGGCCACTTTTCAGTGCACTTATGAACTGTTCCACTGCCCAAAGTGGCTTAGAACTCACTGGGCTCTTGTGTGAAGGATTTAAGCACGTGGAGCTGTGGGTAAACAATTCCAAGGACTTCTATAGATCAATTTGGTGATGTGCATCTGCACTTATGCATTTACACATTCAGGTACCTAAAAAACTTTTGCAAGCCTGAACTCAAGTGTCTTTGTTTTAAAAATGAGGCTTTGGCAGTCCTGGAAATGTTGGGAAATTTCTTACCAGTGGAGGCCTCGAGACTCTCAGGCTTCTGTGTGTTCTCCAAAGAGATAAAGAGAAGCAGTTTGGGAAGAAGTGAAAGGCACAAATATCAGTACAGATGATGTCACTATTTGGCTCTAGAAGATTATATAAATCAAGCATTAGCATAATAGTTGTAGTACAAGGCATAGGATCTGATATGTTTATTTAGGGCTTAAGTACTTTTAGACTGTAATACTGAATGTGTATATCCTTCCTGTTGGAGCTGAAGTCTGATCTGAAAATACCAAATGAACTCACTTATGAACAAAACAAATAAACAGTCTTTTGTGTAAATAATAATTATTTCCATGTTTTTTAGGAATTCAAGATTTTCCAGAAAATATCAAGTGTTGTAAATGTTTAACAATTATCGAAGCCAGTGTGAACCCCGTGTCCAAGTGAGTATCAGCAGCTGGGTTTGCATTCTGTAGGTGCAGAAAATGAGCTCAGAGTTAAATGAATTGTGTCAAGTTCATTTGCAGGATTAATCTAAATTTCTTTCTAGTTGTTTCAAACGCAGAGGGGGTGAATCTGTTTTAAGATCCGAGTACTCTGTTAATGAATATTGGGTCTTTCCACTTAGCAGAGAAAGGGTTGGCAAAGCACAGGGGCTGAGGTTTCATGTGTTTGGCCACTGAAAACCTCTTGGTTGGGGCTTTGGCAACACTTTTTCCTTCCAAAAAGTTGCAGTAATAGTAACAAAAATCTGGGTTGTAAAACCAGGATTTATAAAATGGAGTGAAGGAGGTGAAAGGATGAATTTTTACTATGTCAGTTTAAAAAGACAGAGAGAAAGAGGGAGAGAAAGAATGAGAGAAAAAGAGGGGGAGAGAGAGAGACAAGAAGAAAGAGAGAGGGAGAGAGAAAGAAAGAGAAAGAAAACGAAAGAAAGAAAGAAAGAAAAAGAAAGAAAGAAAGAAAGAAAGAAAGAAAGAAAGAAAGAAAGAAAGAAAGAAAGAAAAAGAAAGAGAAAGAAAAAGAAAAAGAAAGAAAAAGAAAAAGAAAAAGAAAAAGAAAAAGAAAAAGAAAAAGAAAAAGAAAAAGAAAAAGAAAAAGAAAAAGAAAAAGAAAAAGAAAAAGAAAAAGAAAAAGAAAAAGAAAAAGAAAAAGAAAAAGACATTTTGGTTTAAACCCTCACCTAGGAAGGAGGAAAAGGCTATTTCATGTGGTTATTGTAATGTGGAGAAGATGAGAATGAGCAAAAATGTCGGTAATGAGTAAGTTCTTCTGGAGAATTTGGATAGACAAAGAAGGTGAGAGGGAAAGTCACCTTTCTCCTTCTAAATATACATTGTTTTATTTCCATGGCAACGCTGAGGTGAGCATTAAGGGTTTCACTGTTTTTTAGGCTGCCAGATGGCTTCACACAACTTCTAAATCTGACCCAGCTCTATCTAAATGATGCCTTTTTGGAGTTTCTTCCAGCTAACTTTGGAAGGTAAGGATGAGTCATCAAAGCACAGTGATGGTGCATTTGAACCCGGCTTAGGCTCTAAGGGACTGGTTTAAATCTGCCTTCTCTTGAAAAACTAAACAAAAACCAGAGAATTTGGCTTTGCAGCAGAATTTGATGAATGATTGTTGTAGAGGGAGTGTTGTGTCAGCAATAATTTGGTGATGAAGTGCTGCAGTTTGGCAGTTGAGGGAAAAAGTGAGAAGAAATAGAACTTGAAGGTACCTGTCCTTCATCAAATGTGCAACTCAGTTGTGGCAAGGGCAGAAAACAGCAATATGGGCTCTGCCATTGAAAAATGGGCTGAAAGATAAAGGTTGTGAGTCAGAAGGGAAGAAAGAAAGGGCTAAAAGACAGCATGTGAAACCAGAACAAGAGAGAAGATTCAAAAGATGGTGGAGCAGAAGGGCTGCAGAATGAGGGTAAAAATAAATGCAGCAGAAACAGAGCCAAAAAATGTTAGATAAGGACAAAGCAGAGGTGGTGGAATTCAAAGTTGACCCAATTTACCATAAAAGGGGGCAGGAGGAGCTGGTGGATCCCTATCCTGCTCAACTCTGGCAGATATGGGGAGACTATTCCACGTGATGAAGGCTGATGGTTGGCCTTTCTGCCCCCGGGCTGTCCACCTGTGCACAAACCTCAGAAGACAAAATATGAACAGAAAAAAGATTTGGCATTGTTACAGAATTCGCCTAATACCAGTTTTATACTGGTCCATCCTGTATGTTTTATGGTTCAAGTGGGAACACCAACCCAGCACTCTAAAACTAATCCTGAGGTGACACAGCTCTGTTGGCAGTGACATTGGTCTGTTCAGGCCTGGGGAAATCAAGTGCTGCTTTTGCACAGGCCTGGCCCTGACCAGAGCTGAGCCTGGCTGGAATACATCAGCTTTTCACAGTAATTCTAAACTATTTTATTAATGACTTGAGCAAAGTAAACGGAGTAAAATTTCATTTCTCTCAAGTATTTCCAGATTTGCTGAAGGATAAAAAGCAATTGCTCTTCAGTTCACAACTTCCTTTGAAAATTTCTGCAAATTCTACTACCCCTCGCAGGTCTCCTTTTAATTTACAGTATTTTTAGCAGAACTAGGACACGTGCTGAGTGTTGGTATGAATTTGAACCTACACACAACAGCCCTTCCAAACTCCATTGTGTATTAGGTGAATTCTGTCAAAGCTTTTCAGAAGAGTTCTGCTGAGGACACACATGTCCTGTCTGAGTGTGTCTGCCCTTACATGAAATCATTTGGTTCTGAACACATTTGGTACCCCAGAAGAACTGGATATTGGACTGTAGTACATGAAACAGACCTTTAAAAATAAGTAATTTTAAATGATTCTTATGGATTCCTGAACTAATTCACTGAATGAACTCATTATTTTCTATCCCATTTCTAGACTTGTCAAATTGCGAATTTTGGAGTTAAGAGAAAACCACTTGAAAACTCTACCAAAGTAAGTGATGGAATATTTACATTTATTCACATGGAATTGCCAAAAGTGCAAAATATTTGTATTTGCAGGGATGCAATGGTGTAGTTTCGGCTAAGAGTGTATTTTTTTTTTTTTTATGATTTAAAGAAATTTTACTGAAGGGTTTTAGCAAAAAGCAAAGATTTGTGATTCTGTGACATGGTGGAAGATGAATCCTGGTACATTAACTGAGTGTAAATGAATGGCCAAAATCTACAACGTGACATTTTAAGATAAATAAACAAAATTGAAAAGTAGCAGATGAGAGGACCCTGGTCAGTGGTGATGTGACAGATTGTTTGCCTCACCAAGAATTAATCTGATGTGTTGAAAACACCGTCTGTGGAACCGAACGGAACACTGGTTTGAACAGAATTTAAATGGTTTTAGTGCTTTTCAGAACAATTAAAAAGTCTGTATCAGCAGAGTATGGAGGAAGTATCAATTTGCTGGTGTTTCTTGGTGCTGTTTACAAAAAAAAAAAAGGAAGTTTCTATAATTTGTTGCTGGAATTTGACCAACATTTCGATGGTTTTGAAAAGGAAATGGTAAAGAACTGAACAATAAATTTCTATCCCTTCCATGCTGCACTGCATAAAAGAGGGAATTTGCTTTTCTATCCAGACTAGAATTATGTAATTGTTTTCTGGAAGAGGGATCCTCACCAATGGAAAAATATCTATGGATTGGGGCTTGTTAGAAAGGAGTTTAATGCCTCAGTTTGGAACTCCGGTGCACTTCCGGATGTTCCCGTTTTCTGCCAGCACCACTTTCTCTGCATAAAATATTTTTGGGTGTGCAGTTTTAACCCACTGAAAATATTTATATGTTCAGCCTCTAGATCTTCCCAATACTCTTCTATAAAATCAGTAATTTATTTTCCCTCTATGTGGTTTGATCAAAGATCATCCTGATGCCGGTTTCCAGGATCTTCTGAGCAGTTAGAAATGCTTGGAAACCTCTGGCCAATATTGCAAATAATTTATAGTATTTTAGTAAAGCTTTAATTTGTGCAACAGAATTAGAATTAATTTTTTTCCTCTTGAAATCTTTGGAGCGTTTGGGAGATTCTGACCAAGTTATTTGCTTGATGACTCTCACTCTGCTGGTAGCAGAGCCTGTCCTTGGAGAAGTGCACTCTGGTTTTCTGCTCCTAAAACCCAACCTAGTCCAGAATTAACCCAACCCCAGACTGAAATTACCAGTTTTCCCAATTTTTGTGAACAAACATTCCTGAGCATTCCATACCCAAAGCTCAGAGCTGTTCCCTCCTAACGAGCATTGTTGTCCCTGTTGGCATGGTGAGGGTCTGTGGTTTTGTCAATGGTTACAGTATTTTGAACTAAATTCCCAATTATTCAACAAAATCTAGGAACTAAATTTACATCTTAGTTGGAAAAAGAAAGTTCTAAGAACATTTCCAGCAGAAGTTTTTAATTTATCCAACTGTTGTGTTTAAGCCTGGCCTGGTTCCAGGCTTAATTTGCTTGAATTTTGTATTTTCTGAGAACAGACTCTGTCATAAATATTCATTGCTCTTCACATCAGGAGATGTCAGCAGACCTGCCACTCCCAAACTGAATGTTTTGGGACATTGCTCCTGAGAGCAATCAAGAGTGTTTCATATCTCAGGAAAAACCCAGAAACTCCCTGTGCAGTTGGTTGTTCCAGGTCTAGAATGTTTCAAAGATCCTTGAGCGTATCATAACACTTGGATATTGGCTCTGAGAGCTGTTTGGGCAGAGGAAAACACCTTTGCAGGGTTCTGGGGGATTTCTTTCAGTAGACATCTGGAAAATTGAAAAACTGTAGGGACCTCATTTGTTGTCGGTGAGTCACCAGTGCCTTAGAGCCTGAAAGGACTGTAATTGTGAGAAAATACCTGTATTTGCTGGGTGACTCACTGGTGCCCAACTGGAGCTGTGGCTTCTCAGCTCCTCTCTGGCTCAGACAGTAGGAATTTCAGCTCTGTTTTTCTGCATGTTAGGAAATTATGTCCAATGGAGACATTACCAAGGGTGTGAGTCCCTGGCACCTGATGTCAGGGAAAACCAAGATTTCCCTTGGTCTTCAGCTATTGCTCAGAATTAATTTCCTTTGTGAGAAGTAAAAATTGAATATCTCAAGGACAGCCTCTAAAATTGGCAGAATTAAGTAATTATGAAGGTGAAAGCTTTTAAAAACTGGGTGAAATTTAATAGCACAGTTAGAAGGTCACGTCCTGAGAGATTAACAGAGATTTTTGATACATGAGGAGTTCTTCAGTCAGGAATCAGATTGGGAAGAAAAGATGTGGATGTAAAATGTCTGAGTCATTGATCTGAGAGAGCACCTATAGAGCCAAATACTCTTTATCAGAGTGTTTTCACTGGAGACAAAGAAACCTTTGGGACGTGGGAGAAAAAAGGGAGATGTCATTTGGGAAAGATCCAGATGGAATAGAGATGTGGAAGAGTTAAACAGGTCCTAATCTGATAGGAAAAATAATGGATGCACAGTATTATATGGAATATATTAATATATATATTTAATATATTTTATTAAAAACAGGGTGTTACTTAAGCTGAAAAAAACTGAAGTCACAGGGAGATATGTCAGTGTTTATCTCTGAACACACTGACCATGTATCAGATTGTGGAGTAAACTGGTTTTTGGGTAAAATGGTTAGTGGGTAAACTGGTTATTAGGGAAAGGGATTAGTGGGTAAATTGGTTTTTGGATAAAAGGGTTATTGGGTGAACTAGTTATTGGGTAAATTGATTATCAGGTAAATGGGCTGAAATAATTCAGAAACGTTTTTATCAGAAATTATATAATTACATTGTGAGGTTCTTTGTGAGACTCAGCACTTTGACATTCATTTGCAGACATTTGCATGTGTCATTCTGTTCTTGTTGGTTTAAACAAGCATTTTTCTGAAATATTCTGGTTTTGAAGTTATCTGGGTTCCCTCAGTTTGCTTTGTCTTGGTGCAACCTTCCTGCACTCCAAAATATTTCATAGCTGTGGTTTTACTCCTAGTTTGAGTCAGGAAGAAAAGGACTTTATGAATAAGATTATGATGATGATGATAAAGATGGAGGATTTTGTTCCTTTTGTTAAAATTAGCCATTTTATCTTGATCTGGTTTCAGATATAAAATATAAACCAAAGTTTTTAATTCTTGATTGCACAGTTTTAGGTTCTGATTGTAACAAAACCATGTGAAAACAGAGGTTCTGTTTTAGCCACACGGTTTTATTTCTGAGACTTGCTGCTTATTATTTTTGCTGTCAAAATGCAGACTCTACTGGGACAATCATTATTTGGTCTTACCTGTTGCAGGCAATAAAATATCACATCAGTGTTTTCTACTTTGCCTTTTTCTCCCAACACCTCCATTTGTGAGGAATCTCTGAGCTTTTGCTGCCACTATTTATGTCACAACAGGATTTCTGTGTGCTCAAGTGCCACAAAGTCTGTGAAAAATAAATGTTCCTATTTTCTATAATATCTTTCTGTCAGTGCTCAAATATCTTCCTTGATAAAGAACGTTAGATGAGTTTTTTTCTAATTCCAAAGCACAGAAGGTCAGCCTCATTTAAAGTTTGCCATTAAAATTATTTGAAAGAGAGATGGACACAAGAAGGATGCCCTTCATTAAGTTTTTCCTTCTGGATAATGAATTAAAGTGTGAAAACAATATTTCTGTGCAGGTATAATTAAAGTATCTGTTTTGGCTTCACAATTATATATTGCAAAAAAAGCTTGGGGGGAAAACACATTTTTCACCCAGAAAAATTTACTCTTACTAAATGTCATGAAATGGGACTTTTTCTATCCTTTGAATTCCAAGTGTACCTTTATTTTTTTCTGTAACTATAATGTGGAAAACAATGACATTTTTTTCTGACATTCTTCCATTTCTTTTTTCCATGTCTTCCCACTTCTTTCTATTTCTTTTAGTCCCCCAAAATTTACAAATATAAATGTAGAAAGTAAATGCTGGTGGGGAGGATACAGGTTCCTTTCTTTCCTCCTTTATTTCTTTACTTATTATTTTCTAAACTGGTTAAATCAAAATTTTTATGAGTTATGGGTTGTTCTTTCTTTTATTCCCTGTTCAATCCCCCAGCAATGCTGTAACTCTTTCACACCTGAAATTAAATGCTGCTCTGGGAATACCAGACTTTTAATTATCCCACTACCAGATTTGCACCAAATTAATGTGCCAGGTCCCCACTACTACAGAACATTTAGCAAAGAAATAAGATAGGAACAAGGCAAAGTGGGAGTAGTTTCCTGTTCTTGATGTAATGATCATAAATTAATTGAAATTATTTGTAACTCTTATTTATGCTGATTATTTTTTAAAAGTGGTGAGAATGTGGATGAGACTCAACATATGAAGATTTCTAAGCAGCAGCATAAAACCTGTATAAAAAGGACACAGTGATTTGGTTTTAAAACAATATAAAGTGAAGTAGATCAGATTCTTCCTTGGCAGAATAAATCTCAAATAGTAGTGGGTGTTTTGCAGAGGTTAAATTTGCCAATTTGAAGGTTAAATTTGCAAATTGGAGGTATTTAAACCTATAGAGTTACAATTCTTATGCCCTTCTGTGGCTTAGACTTTACTCCAAAGTGACAAAATAAACAGAATAATACAGAAATTCCAAAAAAGATATTCAGAGATCAAACATATCCCAACCCATTACCTTCCTCCAGATGGGAAATTTGCTGGAGAAAAGTGATTATTATTTCCACTAACCTCATAATCGAATGGTAAAACGCTTTCTTGTGACTTACAAACATTAGTGCCATAACATTTCTATCCTCACATCCTTCCCACTCCCCAAATCCCATTTTAGGAAGTAGATTTGCAAAAATCACAGGTTGTCTGAAGCGTGTTGAAGTCAGTGGAACAGGGAATTTAGATCAGCTCAGAACATGTCCAGGGGATCTAAATCTGGGGGAAAGCTTCACTTTCTCCTGCTATTTTT